CTTACTTTGCTTGCTGAGCTCATCCTCTGAATCAGTCTGTGTGGATGACGGGACAGATGCAACCAAACACCACCACATTACATACGGATCCTGAAAGGGCAACAACTCGTGGCCTTGGCGTGTTGACAGTGGCTCACTCACGAGTCACTGTCTGGTTTCCAAAAATTCTGGAGGGAACACTCATCGGCCTGTGCAATTTCACTGATTGCCAAAAGGTGAAATACCATGCAGCCTCTGATTGGATGTCGCGTGCCAAAGGTTGGAGGGCACACAACGTCCAATCAGAGGCTGCATGGTGGCCTCAACCCCTGCGTACGAACTTTTCTTGTGTTGCGTCCTCACCCCTGCGTCTTTTTTGTCTCTCGCGTGAGCTCTTCAGTTAAAATCCTGGTCCTTTGGTTTCTTGTGGAATCATCGTGACTTACAACTCTCAGTTTTGTGTATTTAGCTTGACAACGCAAGTGTGACCACTTGCGACGTCGTTTCACTGCGTAAGTCTGAACTCTCCTTACCTGCTTCAATTTTGTCCTTCAACCAGCTAATCAGTCTTGGAAGTTGAACTGACAGCTTTTATAGGCTCGTATACAATGAGGATTGTGGGAACTTTAATGGCAAAGGCCACATTACCAAGCTCGATCCATGATTGACGTTTGATTTGCCACCCGAAGAGATATAAAGATCAAGAATCGAGATGGAGAGGATTGTTGGGTCAAATCGGTTCATTTCATTCGTTGAGTTTTATCCCTTTGGATTCATTTCAATCCAAAGATTCACTCTGATTCAATTCTGATTTGAGAATTTTTTAGATTTATTCATGTGACTGCTAGACCTCATCCTGGTCAAATCCAAGTAGCAGAAACGATTGATAGATTATTGAAATCTAGTCAATTAGCGATCATACTGATCATGAAGAAAAAGATGTTAGTGCTGAGATCTCTAAACAAACTTTAAGACAATATTGTTATCCTTTGAGAACCGCACCTCAAGTAAGTGAATCTATTATTACAACTTTCAATGAAGCCTTTTCGATCTCTTGGAATTAATTGTCTTTGGGTTTTTTTAGTGGATCGGTCCTTGATTAGAAGATTTAGGGCTATGACCCGGCCCTGGCCCTGACCGGCCGAGTGTGCCCGAGCGTTTTCTAGGTGAGGTCGAGGCCGAGCCCGGGGCCTCAAGTCCAGCCTGGGAATAGCAAAAAAGGCCCCGGTACAGGGCTACTCGGGGCCGGGGCCGTCGCAAAAAATCTTTATGGAGGCAATCTTTTGGAAAAATTGACGTCATCAAGCATCCTTCCCGAGCTCTCAAACACGCTTTCAAGGGGATGGTCCGAGCCAGGGCCTGCCCGGTGCTGCCCGGCAGCATCCTTGAGTATTGCGTGGCCGAGGCCGGGCCTGAATCGGCCCCGGGGCCGGCCCTGACACTTCAGGGCCGGGTCATACCCCTAAGAAGATTTGATAGTTGCTCCTGCTACTATCAGTCGTGAATTAAACTCGACTACAGATAATCGTATGTGACCAATCAAATCATCAGAATCAAATTCCCCATCCAACTTAAACTAATCTATACCTTTGAGTTTTCCAAATCATTAGCTTTGATTGATGTAGAGACTGGAATCATTCATCACGGTGCTTATCT